AGGTCATTGTGTCGACCTTGGCCGAGTGGTCTGCACGCCTGGTTTGCAACCATAAGGTCGTCGGTTCGAGTCCGCATATGGGTGCGCGTCATCACGGTATACACAGTCCGCGTGCGACATTACGGCGTGCAGCTGACATTATTTTTTATAGGTCATTGGGTTCGTACGGCAACGAATTATCAGTTCAAATGGCCGATGATGATCATGTCACCCTCTATCATTTTAGCATTTGGTGATGTCCAGACTGCGTAGAATAGGTTCAGAGTATTCCTCGCTTAGTTATCCTTCCTTCACATTCTACTCTCAGTTGGAAGAAAGCAAACACAAAATCACCCTAGTTCAAGTTAACCGCACCGCAATTGCTGAACATGCGGGCCACTTTTTGGCGACTTTTATTCAATGCAGACGATCTCTTCGAGCGTTATCCGGTGGCACGGGATGCATGTAAGCAGCATCTAAGGACTACTCATTATGAAGTGGAAATACTAGACTAGATTTCAGTCAACCCCAACCGTTTTTCTGCTTATGTTAGAAGACGAAGTCATGTGTAACTATCCACCCTGGTGTTGCACGAACGCCACGGAATTACCGCGCACTATATGACAGGGTCTGTCTGCTTGGTGCGCAGTATGTATTCCAGAAGACTCCTTCCTGACTGATATCTCCGTATCAGACACCCAGGGGTCGATGAGAGCTAAATCCTACCAAAACTGCTCGCGTCGATGCTTTTCATTCCAAGTTGTTTTTTGATCTGACAAATAAAATCTTTTTACTCGTAATGCGATAGTGTGAAAATCTCTCGCCAACTGCCTTCTGCCTACTGACCTGAAGGATAAGCACCTCCCTGTGAATTACAAGCCTATTTATCTGTTAACAAGCGCATTGGTTAAACTACTATAGAAGCTGGTGAAATGCCCTCAGGATGTTCAGTCTTCTTAGCCCACCTCAACACTGCGTTCGCAAAAGTTGTCCCTACTTTGCCAATTTATTGCTTGCTGGAGGAGTCTTGGCGGAGATTTCCGACCATGGTCATGCAGTGCACGGGCTATTCATCGAGTTCGCCAAAACGCTGTACTCCATCTTGCCTCCTTTTTCTTTTAAGCTGTACTTACGGATTATTTCGGCACGCCCTTTGGTGGCTCTCGGAATTTGTCAACGGACAAAAGATGTGTGTTCGCTTGGGCTCCAACCTTTCCTTCCGAAATGCTGATCTGAGCGGCATCCATTTGTTGTTTGCCTTGTGTGTAAACCAACTACCAGGATCAGTGGTGGTGCCTATCGTCATGTTTGAGGATGTCTGCTCAGCGACTGTGATTGACTCCCGGGCTTTGCAGCAAGCTCTTGACAAACCTTTTGAATGACCTGTTTTGTGACAGTTGCCAAGAAATTACGCTGTTTTCAGTCCTGTGTATGGAGTAAAATGGCCTGATGCACTGCGCTTGATTGGAACCAAATATCTCTTGTAGCCGAACAGGTTCATTCATTGTCATCGGGCTTTAACTTCATTGATAATTAGATAATGGTAACCTGCAAGAGTTTTCCGGTTACCTGGGCCTAAGTTAATCATATTGCCACAAATTAAGACTGTCTGTTAAGTTAGAGCACGTGCCTGGATTCTGCTTTTGCTCTTGTGCGCGCACGTCTAGCGCTCACCCTTCGCGCTTCAAAGAAGCGCCTAATAACCCTAACCTGTAATTTGAACTTGCAGTCTGCAGTTCATCAACATCATTACGAACTGGCCCACTTATTGTCAGTAAATAAGGAGGTTAGTCAGCCGAACGATGACCAGAATCATCCTAAGCGCGCTATGAGATTTGTCTTTGACGCTTGCCGTGCCCCCATCTTGAGACTTTTTAACTGTGAATGAATCTGACACATCGATCAGTTTGATCGAATCGCACACTGTTTCCATTAGGCACTGCGTTTCAGCGTGTCCGTAATCTCTTAAATACCGTTTGACCGTTTCGTATCGACCGGGAACATTGATGGGTGGTAAGAGCCCGAGAGTTGATGAAAGCCAGTGCTATTGGAAACAGCCGAGTGTTATTCCAACTCATCTGGAACACGGGTCCGAGAAAGTCATCAGTTAGCGAGATGTTGGCTGAGAAAGTTGGCTAGTTGGTTCATTCTCTGCCCATTGGGTAAGACATTGAACACCAGTTCAGAAGGCCTGCTGCGACACTGCCGCTTGCCGAATCAACTGAGCTGACGTTGAAACTTGATGTAACACCTCCCACTTTGGAAAAGATTTGACATGAGATTACTGTGTTGAAACGAGACAACGCTCCTTGACCAGACCATCTTCATACTTTACTGAAAGATCGAGGTGAATCTTTGTTTATTCGACTTGCAGCTCTGTTCGAAACGAGGTGTGACATTGAAGAGGTACCTTCAGACCGGCGAGTGTCAACAGTCGTGCTGCTTTTCAAGAAGGCTCACGGACTTTGCGCAAAAATCATCGAGGCACTAGCCTGATTTCTGTTGCTTTGAAAATGCTCACGGGCATCATTCTTCGACGTATTACTGATGCTCGTGAGAACCGAATCATTAAAAGCCAGAGCGGTTTCCGCCCTGGTCGTGATTGCATCGACCACACATTTATCCTTCATCAAACTTTAGAGTAGAGACACTGTTACAGAAGGCCGACTATGGTATGTATGTAATATATATGTAATCTCAACAGTCTAGCAACTAGACATAGAGCCAACAAATCCATGAAGATTAGCAGATAAGGTGAATTCACTGCGTCATAATCATCGTGACATGGTAGTTGAAGGTGAGCAACACACTTCAGCTAATATGCCGCGGGAAGAATGAAACATTTTGACAAAAAGTAGAACAAAACATTTTTATTTTGTTTTTCACACACCGATTTTTCTCTTTTTTGTCATTTTCAATGTTTGAAGTATTAAACACGTAACTTGAAAGCAGCCTTCGACTCTGTTGGTCGTGTCAGATTGTAGCGTTGCTTAATCCGTGAAATAAGTACCTACAAAACTCTGCCATTCTCAAATCTCTGCAATTAATCCAGAGGCCGGATTAGGGTCTACATTAAGCCGTCTCCTGAGTTCACCAAGATTGTCATATATCTCATTTTCTTTTTAACCTTGTGACCGAGATGATCATGAATGGCTCTTCTTTCATACTTTATCGGAGTGTAAGTACTGCCGGGTGGCCGACGAACAAACCTTGAGTATGCGGACGACAGCTCACATCGGCTCTGACGCAGTGGCTATGCATATACTACTGGATAGATTGGTACATAGCGCTGCACGCTTCGGCACGGGCTTTGTGCTGTTACCGTATTGAACCGATATTCCCCCGGTTCTAGCTATCACTGAACAGCCACTGGAAGTGATGGATTGTTTCATTTTTTCGTAGCTGTTCACTTCTGGTGTTCGCATCACTGATGAAGTTACTTCACATTAAATTGCTGGAGCATCTGGTCCTTTCACCAGCACACGAGATGAGGTGCCTTTTAGTTAGCGATCTGGGACTACCCTGGACTGATCTGTCGGTGCCTCCATCCTGTAGAGCACTTGGCGAACGGTTACGTCTCCGCTGCTTAGTTGTCCGGGTGGCACGTTTGTGCACAAGTAAGCCTGAAATTGACTCATTTTGTGAACAGTTACGCGCATGTGCTTTCCCAGCTGATCTAACTGAACCGACTAGTCCTCACTGTTTTTTGGACATGGTCATTATAACGCGTTTTTGTCCTATGGAATCAAGATATCTGTCCCATTGCGGAAACGTACTTTGGCACAGATTTCGGAAGACAGGACTGATCGACTGCAGCTGATCACATAAAAATACAAAGCAAATATAACTGATGAATATGATGAAGCAAACAGGAGCATGCCACACGAACATAGTGCGATGACTAAAGCATGTCAGGTGCAGTGAGGTGTAGATGTTTGACAAGCATCGGCCAAGTGGTAACAAAACAAGTGCAGTTCGATTAAAAACGATGAGAAATGCCTTTGAAGTCACTGCGGCTCCTTTGGTGCGAAACTACCCGATCTTTCAGGTTCCCATTCGTCACCGCTACATAGTTTCAGGGAAAAAACATTTGCTGTTATTTTCTGAGGCTAGATTACACTTTACTGAGCCCAGCGAGGAACGAATCATTGGCAGTAGGTGGCAAAAGCGCCGTTTCGATTTATGCGCTGCAGCAAGGTAGCATTCACTCGACTTATGTTGCCTGTTCCTTACTTGGGAGCAACTTAATGCTTGACGAGAAACTGGGTGGTTTACATCCTCTCCCATTGGGTTACCAAGTATACCTATAGTGCTTTTATCGATAGCGCATAGTTGCGGTTGATCCTGTGCAAAAGACTGAAGTCTAACACATTCACTTCTCTATCCTTCTAAACTGGCATCATGAAATTTGCTATGTGGGAACGCGCGATCTATTAGGCCGCCAACATCGCTAATGAAACACGCAAGACTTTAACAGCTTTTTAGACTCCGTCATCCCACCAATTTCATTCATATCCAGTGGGACCGTCTGACATGGTACAGCAAATGTTTGATGGGTGGCTTAAGTTTACCGGTTCGTTTATTTTTAGTTTTCATGGATCGCCCCATACCCTCTTGGATCAGTGAGTTCGTCAAGTTGGGCAACCAGACTCTGAATATACACTGACTTGCTAAAGAGACATGGGAAACCAACCTCCTAACAATCGTTTTGGTGCCTGTTTCCTTCGCACGCGACTGCTGTGCGATATTTGAGGTATGATTGAGGTGTGTTTCTCACCCTCAGCTAGCGTGTATTGATGATGATGGTGATGCTTGGGTGTATCCTCCAATGCGTATTTGCGCCAATACCGTGATGTATAACTGTGAGGACGTTTGGACATCCGTTTAAGCAATAGCCACAATCCACACTAGCACACGCATTGGCTTGATTTGTGCTTTTTTACTACGAATCATTTCCGTTTTATTCCAATCATCTCGCACTATCTAAGTCGTTTATTCTCTTTCTCTGAAACCTCGTTTTAGCATCATGAATCTGCCGAAAGCAGCGAAAGAAGCTGCCACAAAGAAGATCCTGGAGTCACAGTTGCTAACGGTTGCGCAGGCACTGGAAGACACGGTGGACGAGCAGTTGACTCGTCTGGATCACTTATCCGAAGATGATTTGGATGCCATACGACAGCGTAGGTTGCAACAGCTGAAAGAAGAATCTAAGCAACGTTCTGAGTGGTTAGCTGCGGGTCATGGCGTCTATTCCGAACTGCCGAATGAGCGTGATTTTTTCGATGCTTGCAAGCGTTCCGCTTTCGGCCTCGTGTGCCACTTCTATCGTGATTCCACATTCCGATGTAAAATCGTGGACAAGCATTTGGAATTGCTGGCTCCGAAGCATATTGAATGCCGAATGATCAAGCTGAACGCGGAAAAATCTCCATTTCTCACTCAGCGGTTGAATATTATAGTAATACCTACCATAGTTTTAGTTAAAGATGCACAAGTCTGCGACCGCATTGTTGGTTTTGATGAGCTCGGAGGCCATGATGAATTCTCCACAGCGATGCTTGAATGGCGGTTGGCCGTGGGTCGGGTGATAAACTATGCTGGCGACCTCACCACACCACCGGACGCAGTGAAATCCAGCTCTAACAAGCTGTTCGGTCTGGATTCTAGGCACAGAGAGACGAAAAACATCAGATCAAAGACTATCGGCGGGGTTGAATCTGGTGATGAGAGCGATAACGACGACGATTAACTACTGCGGAACTTTGCCATCTCCGCCAGCTTCGTCTAATTCTGTCTAATTTTTCTTTGATTTGATTTTCGACTGGTTTTTCTCCTCACATGGAAGTCATTCTGCACCTGTAACAGAACATGTATAAGGCTGTATATTGCAGTAATAGATTCCACCACCTGTATTATTATCATATGTTGTCCATTTTAGCATCTCGTCTTACGTTTGGATGGTTTTGCCACATGCAGATCAGAGTAGACAACTGTTTATATTGCACATTGATGAGATTGTGATGCATTCGGGAAAGTGCCACTCCGCTCTGATCACGCTTTTGATGCTTCGGCTAAACTAATCGTTTTCTGCTTGAGTGCTGTATCACGACCACTGAAATGAGTCATTTAATCACCAACGATCGGTGTTGGTACATGATACAGACAACCAAAATTGCTGTCCTCATCTGCAACCGATATAGATGTCCTGCTTTCACTCAAAAGGCTGCGCTTCTTAAATGTTTTTAAACCTATTTTGATTTGGCGGTTCTGCGTAGCAGAAACAATGTACTAGCCTGGGCTTGCCGTTCATCAGCAAAGCTGAATCTGCGAAGTCCATGATCTTGCTAGATGCATCGACTACATTGTTGCGCGTCACCAAATGTTTAAATGGAATCGCGTTTTAAGCCGGCCGTCATAGTAATGCCTCTGGGCTCTATCGTTGTTTCTGTCCATCGCATATGTTTATGGCTGTACCTCTGTGGTTCTCAGAAAATTTTCTCTCTACTTTGTAATCTCTGCGTGACACCTCTCTATCTCTACCCCTCAGTCCATTGCGCCGGTTGGGTTGTCAAGATTACTTTTTCCCCAATTCTCTCTTTAGCAATCGAACTAATCGTGAATGAGCATATTCCACCCTTTTTCCTCCAGTCGTTTAGAGGTTCTTTTTAATGATCGCAAACCTGGACGATCTGCTTCTCTTTTGGTCTGACCGACCGTCAAGGAAACTGTTGCTCGCCCTATATTTACTTATATTCTTAAAGTGCAGAAATGTGCTGGTGGGTCGGTTCACCGCTTCCGACCACGTTGCCGAGAAACCTGTTGTGTCTCGGTCACCTACGAGGACGTTAGTCGATCAATCCAAATCAGGGTACGCAGCCTTGCCGTTATATCCTGTTTGCTTTGTTGACCAATTGTGTTCCAGTCACCAAGGTGCGCGATAGCTTCAGTTACCATCACTCGCACCATCAAAGTGTTTATACTGAACAACAGCTAGTGACATTGGAACTGGAGTGGAATGTAGAACTGCAGACAAAAATTCAATAGTTAACTACTGAAGGAAAAGGGGCACATCATTAGGTGGCAAGGTTGCCAGTTGGAATGCAAGTTTACCATTAACTTCGCGACTGTGCCATATCCGAAGGAGTTTCTAACCAGACATACGGACTATTCCGTAATCTCTATCCAACGAGATGATGTACATCAGTTCAGCTCAGTTTTGGCTCGATTTTATCGTTCCGCTTCGGAATACCGTAAACTGATCACTTAGAGATCTTGCGTATACCAGTTGCGGTATCAGCAAATCATATGCGCTTGCGTGGACGATCAGTGGCGCTGCGGAGAAAGTCACATGGTCATTGCAGACCGCTCAAGCCCCAATATGTTGCAAAATGTTGAACGATGTACTCCAGCGACACTACCTAAACAGTGGGCTGCAAAATTACCAATGTCTCTTTTTGCTCTTTACAGCTGCATCGGTCCGTTTACAGCGTCCCGCATCCTGCTGTCGTTTATCATTCAGCATCATTATACACGTTTGCTAGAGGTGGGCAACACCTCAGCTACTATGTCGCAATAGATAAAAGAAAAAAGGAACAATGCGACAAATGCGAACCAGCTGAGCTTCCGGTAACGGATGGGCATCGTTCCGGTAAGCTCCCAGCTGGCTACTATGCAGCAACAAAATTTAATATGCGAAATTATATTAGGCTAACAAGTGAGATCATGGTTGGAGGGGGAGGCTAATAGGGATGGGGTGAGACAAAGAAACTTACAGCAGAAATGCCATTGAGGTCGGCTCCTGGCCATGTCAGCAAGTATATCCAGCCAAACATGTTCATCATGTTTCGGACCTCAACCAGGGAATCAAGGCCAGCTTCGAAGTGAGGATCTGCTGTCGTTAGGTGAGCCTATATCTCCTTTTTCATAGATTATTGAAAGTTAGAAAACCCTTTCTGCTTACTAACACGAACAATAGACTTAACGGTTTGCCTGCAAAAGATGACCCAACTGCCTAGATAAAAAAACCAACCGGCAACCTCTATTGGATGTTCTATGAAATCAAGGACATACGATACGTTGGCCTTGTCCACTTTGTATTTTCTCCCTTTGGGGTTGCGACGCACGTACAGTGCTGCTCGTGAGTATATCCAGTATCGCTTGTATATCAGTTGGTCCCGTGTTGAGTGAGGGGGAGAATTACATTTTGACTTTTGTGGCCCAGGGTTCCAACTTACTACATGTGCGCCGTTGATTCAAGCCACACTCATGTCTAAATTTGGCCGCCCCAGTGGTGTCTCAGCCTGCGTGTGAGCATCCACAGTGTACCTCTGCATTAATGATGTCTCTAACCGGTCTTGCGTATACTGTACACGCTAGACGTTGTGACGGGAATCGGGGCTCTTTCGTATGACGATTCAGGTACACCTTTCGCATTGCCCACCAAGTTAGGGGGCGCTTACTTGATGGCTGTCGTTGGAAAGAGAAGAGCGCGAGGACGCGGCGTGAACGAAGAACGAAAGAGCACTGGTGTTGGGGTTTGCCGGCGGATGCTACATTAGTGTTGCGGATTTTGATAGGGTACTTTTGTTCAGAGGTTCTCACCCCTTTTCTTCCAATCAAACGTCTAACTTACAATGAATAGGAGGACATGGGCATTTGTTTGATGCCTAGTCGGAGACTTTGGCTCAATAGTCACAAGACACTGGTGATCAGATCCAATCGGGGAGTCACATGGTGACTAGATTGTGGCCGGTAGCGCCCTGTCACGGAGATACAGGACACTTTGCGCGTTTTACTTTTAGGTCATAGTGTGCACCTACAACCAAGGTCGGCGGTAGGTGAGTATTGATTGGTCTGCAATCTCAATCATTTCACACTCTACACCATTTTACGAGCAAGTTATTGCATATCGCTAATTAGCTAGGCTGTTAAAAGATCAAAATCATCAGTTGTTTTTCCCTTAGCACGGTTGTAGACCCATTTTCACCGTGCTTGGTTACTTACAAGTACCGTCGCGTTATACTCTCATTGATAATGAGACGTTAGCTAATAGGACACCGGGTGTAAGCACAGTGCAACGTGTATGCATGTATGAGGGACGGGAGGTGCATTCCGTGTATTTTCCCGAGCAACCCGTCACATTCGTCTTACTGAATAACAGACAGAGAAGAGTATTAATGCTAGAGGTCACCAACAGCGCGCCAAACTGAAGCCGGGTCAACCTAGGATGAAGCGTTTGAGCGTTCTCCCTCTGTACCACGTTAACAGATCTTTTTGGCTAAGTTACCATTAGTTTGCATTCTGATACGACCGGTAGTCTGTGTTCCTGTGCTAAATTTCCAACGGTTGCCCGAGCTGACCGTTGTCTGTCGCGAAAACAATACGCGATCGATCCAAGCGACACCAAAACAAGTAATCAGCTGTACTCCTTAACAGCGCTCCGCTGTCGCTCAACAACCACCAGTCGCGCGTATGCTATGTAAACCGCGAGGACGCCCGCCCTTATGCCGATTCGTAAGGTGACCTAGTGATTGCATGCCAGGCTTGCAGACCACGGCCAAGGATAGGCAAGAGGCAAAATGCCAGGGGAACATTTAGGCTCCAGGTTAGTATTTGGTCTAAACAATATACCGCATGTGTACCAATGCTTGACCGCACCTTTGTTTTGGCGATTTTTCGAAGGAATGTCAGGAACTATGTGCTCCGTTCGTACATTGTACCAAAGTCAACGCATAAACAGTTGAAAGGCGACAGTCGAACCACCGTGTGTGTTCTCTAAAACGCGTACCACACCACGCCACTTAACAATAGTCGGCCTAGCGATGTGTTAACCAATTTCACAGACAAGTATGCTTACAACTTTTTTCAGCCTAGTTTATCCACGTCGTCTACTTTTACGACAGATGCAAAAGCTCTGTTGCGTATATATATATATATATATATATATATATATATATATATATATATATATATATATATATATATGGTTGGCGTCATCCGGTTTCGGATTTACTTGTCACTGTGGCCAGACACAGGATGCCTGTGCCTACAGAGGGACCATGGATGGCTTGCGCTGCACCACCCACAGCTCCAACCACACAACCCATATCGAGTGTAAACCCGAAGGAATAAGACCGGGAGGTATGTGGATGTGTGCCACGTTTCATCAACGGAGCCGGCCCACACTCCTTCACAGGCAAACACAAGCACGCTGTATTTGGGGAATCAAGCGCACACAAGGCGGTGGCTGGACCGTAGTCCGCTTCACACTGAGTGCATGGAACCACTCTTCGAGGCTAGCACGACCACAAGGACCGTGCACCCTGTCTCCTCCATCAACGACCAACTGTCTCCTGTAGCCAGTATGGACGAGGTAGTGGGTAATAGGCAGGTAGGCATCTTGTCAACATGCACATCAAGCGCAGCCACACCGGGGATATCAAGCAACAGCCAATCACCTGGAACGACAAGATGAAATAAAACAGATCCAAAACAGATCCAATAATTACTTATCTATGAGGAACGATGTTCTCACCTCATGCTCGATCCACTCTGGCTTCGACGGCTGAAAATCAATCCCACTCTTCTCTACAGCATAATATCCTCGCGAGTTTGCTCAACCAGTACGACCGTCGCATTACATAAGGGCTCAACCTATCCTTACAGAGGACAAAAAATATCCGCTTAAAATTCTTCTTGGTGAAGTACTCCCATCTGTCAATATACTCCCGTTGTAATTCAGGACCTGCGAGAGCCTACCTAGTCCTAAAACGAATTTAAAAACTTTTCTTTCCATGCCAAATGTGCCTAACTTTTCGACCTCCACAATCCACGAACGCGCTCCTGGAATCGGGCCCGAACGACATATGACATTAGTAACTATCAAATAATGTTGTTTATTACCTACGCAACAAAACCATTGCACAACTGTTCCATATTGCGTAGAGTTCATAAGTGTAATGATGCCGAAACCCGCTGCACAAATCATCCTTTCATAAAAGGGAACGTATCCCGCTTGTCGGGAAATATACCCACTTATTTATTTATTTAAATGGCGGGAGAGCCCATGGTGCGCTGAGGCTGGTGGTGGCTAGAGTCTGACAGATGGTCTACCCACTGCTGCTACTGTTGCGCCCTTGCTCATGTCCTGTACGCCTCGTGGCGACCACTGGGTGGGGCTTGGGTTACACCCTTCTCCTAGCTAAGAGCCAAAACACCAATCCGCATGAGTCAGTAAACT